ATGATTCTTCTTGTAGCGGCATTAGTCTCCTGTAGTCGACGCACGTCTCCAGCCGGTAATAGTTCTTGTAGGAATCGACTCATTGTTTTCATTACGTACCACTGTGATCCCACCTTTCTTTGGAACTGTTTGTACCGGCTCACCCCCATGCACTATCAGAGATTGGATAAATCATACCAGCATCCAAGAGCTTCACGACTTCTTTTCTCACAACTTCTTTCATAGTTGGATTCAATCTCCTCTGTGGTTGTCTGACTGGCTTGACATCATTTTCCATCAATATTTTATGAGTGCAAAAAGATGGGTTTATTCCTTTCAAGTCTGTAATAGACCATCCTATAGCTGTTCTGTGCTCTCTCAACACCTTCAATAATTTTTCTTCTTCGGCGGTCGATAAATTTATGTTGATGATCACCGGGTATGTCTTGCTTTCTCCAAGAAATGCATATTTCAAAGTGGGAGGAAGTTCTTTCAATTCAACCTTTGGTGCACCTGGAACCTTTACGGTTTCATCATTAACCCGCAACATCAGCTGTACCCTGCTCCACATGAAGCAATCATAGCCCTTGCAGTGGCTAAAAAGGGCCTTCCCAACAGTAAGGGAATTTCAGCATCCTCTTGCATGTCTAAGATGACAAAGTCTGCAGGGAATATGAACTTATCAATCTTCACCAAGACATCTTCAATAACTCCATCTGGCCTTCTGGTAGATCTGTCTGCTAGCTGCAGTGAAACTTTGGTCGGCTTTAATTCATGAATCCCCAGAGCCTTGCAGATGGATAATGGCATAAGGTTAATACTAGCTCCCAAGTCACATAACGCCTTTCCCACATCAATGTTGCCAATTTCTATGGGAATGCTGAAACTTCCAGGATCTTCAAGTTTTGGAGGCAACTTTTTCTGAATTATAGCACTACACTCTTCCGTCAACGTAACTGTTTCACATTCTTTCAGTTTACGTTTCTTCGATAAGAGATCTTTCATGAACTTTTCCTCTCTGAACCTCTGCGGATATGGAATTCTTGCATAAGGTGAGAGCTCCAATGGCTTTTCTTGTCTTTCTTGAGCTTTCTTTTTCTCCCATTTGAACTCTTTCTTTTCTGGAACAGCTTTCTCTGCAGTAGGCTCTTTGTCAACTTCTTTCTCTTTTTCTTCTTCAATGGCAGGTCCCTCAACTTTCTTTTTCTCTACTGAAGGCTTAATCACAGGTTCAATTACAATGCCACTTCTAGTGGTAATGGCCTTGCAGTGTGCGTTTGGATTAACGTCTGTATTACTCGGGAAAGTGCCTTGGGTTCTTTCATTGAACTGCCTTGACAATTGACCGATCTGGGTTTCAAGATTCCGGATAGAGGCTTCTTGATTCCGGAATGAGGCCCTGGTCTCCTGCATAAAGGTTGAAGTGTCTTCCCTGAATGCATTGGTACTTTGAACGTAGTCTGATGTGGTCTTGGATAGTTGTGCAAAGGCTTTCTCCCACTCTGATTGTTGTGGAGGTTGCTGTGGTGCTGGCATAGGAGGATTTAGCTGATGATTCGAGCTATAACTGAATCCTGGATGTTGATTTTTATTTCTCCACCCTTGATTCTGGTTATTGCCGTATTGGTTCCTCCCTGGATTATATGGAACTTTCTGATCATGCCAAATTCCATTAACATCCGCAGTTTCGGGTGCCTTGCAGTCATCAGTAGTATGAGCACCTGCGCAAATATCACAAACAATAGAAAAAGTATTAACATGAGCTACTGAAGTATTAGAAGAAACTTGAAAATCAGAAAATTGCTTTGTGAGAGCATCTAGTTGTTGTTGCTGTTTCTTATTGGACTGTAGGATCTGATCATTCTGGGCCAAGATGGCATCATAGCCATCAAGCTTCATAATCCCCGCTCTTCTCTGTGGTGCGGGAGCATTATCATACTCCTGAGAGGCTAGAGACTCTAGTAATTCCAAGGCTTCCTCTGGAGTTTTTGTCTTCAAGGACCCTCCTGATGCAGCATTCACCACTGTTCTTGTGTTCGGCGTCATCCCTTGGAAGAAGGTTTTCGCTTGCTCCCAGGCTTCAATGCCATGTTGGGGACACTTCCTGAGCAGTCCTTTGAATCTTTCCCATGCTTCGTATAGAGATTCACTTTCTTTTTGTTCAAAAGAAGTGATATCCGCCTTGAGCTTTGCCATCTTCGAAGATGAGAAAAATTTATCCAAAAATTTGGTTGCCAAGTCGTCCCAGTGAGTGATGCTTCCTTGAGGTAACGATTGCAACCATCCTCTTGCTTCGTCTTTAAGTGAACATGGGAACAACCTGAGCAAAATAGCATCCCGAGACACCCCGTTCATTTTCAAGGTATCACAATATAGCAAGAAGTTTTCCAGATGGATGTAAGGGTCTTCAGTGCTTCCTCCGGCAAATTGGTCTTTCTGAATTAATTGTAAAAGTGCCGGCTTGAGTTCAAAGTTGTTAGCATCCACGTTTGGTCTAACAATACTCGCCGTCTGTGGAACTCGAGCAGGAGTCATGTAATCTCCCAACGTTCTCGGAGGTGGTGGAGGTACATTGTTGTCTCCCATTGCTTCTTCTCTCGGTTCTGTTGAGCTTGAAGCTTCTTTCTCTTGCTGTCTTCTTTCTTTAGCAAGTTTTCTGTTTCTTTTTGCTGTTTTCTCTATCTCCGGGTCGAATTGCAAGGAATCGGTGTCAACGGTACCTCGCATAAACCAGAAAAATAGATTATATAAAATAAGAAAATAAAACTGAATTTAAATAACAGAAAATTAAATAACAGAAAATAAGGTCCAATCTAAAGAATTAATAGCTACTATTAATGTTGAAATAGTAATCCCCGGCAACGGCGCCAAAAACTTGTTGCTACTCACGGCAAGTGCACCGATCGTACAAGTAATATATGATTAAGTAAGAGATCGTTCCCACGAGGATTACGGTTCAAGCACTAATTCACTATCGCAAACTTAGTTGGACAATCGAAAGTGTATTTGGAAACAGGATTTGAATTGTAAAATTGAAATATTAAATATTAAGCTAATTACTTGCAAGAATTAAAGACAAGAAATTAAAGATGTGATTTAAGAATGTAAAAGAACGTAGCTAGGGGTTCGATTTCCTTTAATCTCCTTATTATGATTCAAAGTCCTTCTTTACGTTAACCGTCCTTAATATCAATCTAACCAATTCTTTCGCGTGTTATTAGAGCTCAATCCCTTGTTACCCTAAAACCTTTACAAACTTGAAAGAACCCTAGTTCCCCGGTTATTCCCCAAGAATGCAAGCATTAAGTTCAAGAATCTTAAGGTTACGCAAATTCTATGTCTATTCCTAGAATCATAGCGTTTACGATGAAGTTATCAGATATGGATCACACACCAACATCCCTATTGTCATGCATTTACCGATGATCATTATATAAGATTCAAGCCTATATAAAGCATTAAAAACAGATAACTTCATTCATGATAAAAAGGAAAATTAACGTACGAATTATTCAAAGCATAATAAATCGACTAAAATCCATCTAACCCTAACTACTTAAAGAACTAGCCGGACATGGCAAAATCAAGAACAAAAGAAAATAGAAAGGCTCCCCCAAACTCCATAGGTGATTGGTGGATCTTCAAAATCTCCAGTGAACACTTGACGTTGATCCGTCTCCGCCGCTCACGAACATGAATCTGATGTTTCTTCGCGTTCCCTCCGCCTCCAAGCACCCAAGAGTTGTTTAGCAATCTAAAAGTTATGTATTTCTGGTCCCCAATGGCCCTTTTATTGGCCAAGAGTTCGTATCCTAGTAGAAAACTCGAATGGGCCTAAGTTGGATCTGTCTGGGTGCTTAAGCCTGTTGTAGCGCGCTTAAGCGCCCTAGGACAGTGAATTCTGATTCGCGTTGCGCGCTGAAGCGCTCTGAAGGGCGCTTAAGCGCGCTCCTCGCGACAACTTTTTCTTCTTGTGGCGCGCTTAAGCCCTGAGTTGGGGGCTTAAGCGCCCAGAGGCAGTAGCTATTTGCGTTTTTAGGGAGCTTAAGCTTCTGAATGGGGGCTTAAGCTCCCACTTCTAACAACTTGATAAGATCCTCAATCTTATTGTTTTTGATCTTCTTCTATCATCTCTTGATCTTATCTTTTCTAGTTGTGATCTCTATTTATCCAATCTTCATCTTTGACTCCTTTTGTCAACAAATCCCTAAAAAATAGCAAAGATGATTCCATTAAACAAAAATTCAGATAATGTTCATGATTATTATATTAAACCTTAGTTTTTGACTTATTTAACTTGATATTTTATATTAATTTAGTCTATAAAATAAGATAAACTAAAGGTTTATCAATGGTAACTGAAGAAGATCGAACACATACTCTCACTCCCACTGTTCAGCTCCCATACGTCAACTGAGTTACTATTATTTGGTGGGATTGGGATATTTGGATTTCAGAATATGTCAATGTTAATTATGAGTTATGATTGCATTCAAGCTGTTAAAATGTCATATAGTCGCGCGAATAAAAAAATAATACAGTATTTACAAAAATATAGTATGGGAAAATTATTTCTCCTACAATAAAAGATATAAGGGAAAATGGTCTCTAAAGTTACTTTAGAGATATTATCTAAAAAATATAATTATGTACTCCCAAAAATACATAGTTATATTTTTAAAGCTGCAAAAATTTTCTCTTTTCTTAGAACTATCGACTGATGTGACGGAGAGAAAAAAAAAAATTCTGATTACAACTATGTATTTTCTGATGTACATAGTTGTTTTTTGAAACTGCAGATAAATTCTCTAAAGTTACTTTAGAAAAATTAAACCCAAGATAAAATTATCTTCACAAACCCTAAAACAATGTAATTTTGGAGTTTAGGGAAAAAAAATGAAAGTATTTTAAAAATTTCACTTTTCTCTTATATTATAAATTTTAGTTAAAATATCTTAATTTTTTTTTTCAAATATCAAAATGAAGTTATTTTAAAATTTGAGAAAATAACTTTATTTCCTGCTGTCGAAACGTTACTCCTATATAATATTGTCGTGACTTATGAATAGGTGCATCGATCCATTTCCAAACAACTTTACGTTTATTTAAAAAATAAAAATAAATTGTTATAAAAAAAATAAAAAAAAATAAAAAAAATAAAACAACTTCACATTTAGGAAAATATCTATGTATATGTGAAATGTCCGAGCATCCTTTGCCACGCAAAAAGAAATAGTAGGATATAGGTATATACCTAGGAAAGCAAAGAAATGAATGAGGAGATGCAACTTTTAGGGGTGATGTATATAAGGTTTGATAGTATAGATTTATATTATATATTATGATATTTTTAGTTGTTTGGTGTGACTATCGTATAGTATAAATTTATGCAATAAAATCCCTTAACACATCAAAATGATGTATAGCTTAATCAGGTCTAAAGGGGTGTGACTAGGCCTGATAAGGGATTGATGTATTAACATCGCTGACTTGTGCAATTCTCAAGAATTAATATATTGTAAAAAATTTAAATATATTAATTTTTAAAATATTAAAAAAATTTATTTTTATAAAAATTAATATATTTCTTTGGGGCAGGTTATATTTACAAACTTTTTTGTTTACAAACTACACTATGTTCTCCCGGGAGAACATAGTGTAATTTGTAAAAAAATTCAAAAAAGTTTGTAAACGGATCCTTCCCCTATTTCTTTTACACACTAATTAATAGATTTTTATAAAAGTTAATATTATATAACATATTTGGAAGAATTATTTAAATTCTTTATTAAAAGGTGTTTTTGTCAAAAAAAATTATTCTATCTAGTATTATTCAATGCATTCCCAAACACTGTATGCTATTATCTTATATTATATATTGTTTCTTCTGGCTATGTTTTCGTCTTCTTCGTTGATTTATTATTTTTATTTTTATTTTATTTTGTGGCTTGTATTAGCCAATTTTATTTTATTCCCACATATGCTTGTGGTGTTATTCAAGTCTGATTTGGCTTGTATTTGATTTATTTTTATCATTATTTGGCTTTATTTTGGCCTCCCATTCAGGGGGAGCATTTATCTCCGTTGTTGTCTGGTCTGCAGATTATTCGAGTCACACTGGCTCCGTCAGCTTGTCTTATTGTTGCAGCATTTATCTTCATTGTTGTATAGTCCGCGTATTATTCCAGTTACACTGGCTCCGTTGGCTTGTATTCCATTTGCAATATTGTCTTTTTTCGAGCCCTTCCTTAGCTGATGTCTTTTTCTTCCTTTGCTGATGTCCATTCCAGCACCGTCTCTTTACCAGCTCTTCAAACTGATGGTCATTTCAGTTGATTTGCTGTCGATTTCTCCGACTTATATTCCGTGAAACTTCGTTTTAGTTTTCTTTCTTCCCAATATGAAGTGTCCCTCTATCTTGAGGAGCAGTATTCGAGATATATATAATATTTTATTTTAGTTTATTATGTTTGTTATTTTTCTTTATGGTGAGTTGTAGAGTTGTTACAACCTCCACTCGTCTATTTTGATATTATGTTTCTTAGTCTTTTTTGTTTAAGCTTGTTGCTTATGATCTATACGCTCCAGCTTGAGAGAGAGTGTTGGAAAGAATATCTTTAGGATATCTTTATTATGTGTAAAAATCTATTTCCTTATTTCATTATGATTTAAGTTAGGTTTGGGCTAAGCCCATTAATACTTCTTTATATATTATACTTTTTTGAATCAATTCAATATATAGATTTATTTCAATGTTCCTCTCGTCTCTTGTTATTTTACATTATCTTATACAATATCATGTCAAATGGTGGATAATATTAAAATTTAATCATCTCTTATACAATCAGATCTTATATTATTAAATTTTATACTATCAGATATTATCCTATAAATTGCACTAGACTATGTTAATTAACCTATGCACCTACTACAGCTTGGAACAGCTCGTGACAAAACTATTCCATTTGAGAACCTAGCTAAAATAGTATTTGATTTTTATGAAGGAATACCCGTAACTTTTGTGTTATGCACCCGCAAAAGGACGCGCAGAAAAATGCCAGATGATATTACGACTGAAACAGCTGAATAAGTAATATTAAAATCCAATGCTTTGATTACTTTTTTTCTACATATGGTTTCCGAATATTAATTAACCATTTATCTAGAAGATACAAAATGGAACATATGAAGGGACACACAAATAATATACATATGATATTAAATAGTGATAGCTAAGTAAGTGGAAAGAAAAGGATCTCGGTTCGATTCTCACATATCATCTTTGGGAGGGGTTTAAATATCTTCATCCCTAACCCACCCCACACTCCGGATTAGTCTCATGGCCGGCTTAAAGAGTTGAAGTTGTGAGAATATCGGGAGGAGCCAACTCGTCTCAAAGAGGTAATAATTAACTATTAAGGTTGAGTTTACCTATGAAGCACCGACACTTCAAAAATCTTGACGTGTCGTGTCCGACACTGCCCGATACTCCAACACTTCCCGACACTCCAATACTCGTTGCAAAGACTCAAAAAAGATTCAAATGTTACGTTGGTTGCATTTTGAGTTCCAACTATTAGATTCATTAAATTACGATTACGATTTTATTGAGTTTAATATAAACATTTAGGATATATTATGTTTGTTTGCAAAATTGATGAGTATTATAAGTTTAGTTTTATTTTTTTGTTAAATTATTGAATACTAAATATAATATACACTACATAAATTAAAAATATTATATAATACCAAAACGTGTCTTAACGTGTCAAAATTTAACATTTTTTAAAATTAACGTGTCGGAATATCGTGTCGTGTCGTATATCGTGTCCCGTATCAGTGTCGGTGCAACATAAGGGTTAACTCAAAAAAAAAAAACAAATAATATACATATGGTGAATTATTGATTACTACATATATTATTTATTAGCATTTTTGTCCTTTAATTGTTGGCTGAAAAGGCAAGTTTCCTGATCAACCAAGCCATTGATCAATATTAAATTTTCATCACTGTAAACATTAACTCATCGAAATGATCATAACAAAACAAGAGTAAGTCCTTCTTGTTATTGAACTTGTCACCACTTAATTTACCTGCCGGCCAGACGGTTATAGATTCGTTTTTGTTATCATCTTCATATACAGAGTTTGATTCTTCAATAAATTTGCTTTTTATTTATATAGAACCATTGAAGGGATATCTTAGGCTCTTTAGATCCATTTTGCATTCAATTACTAATACAAATTTCTAATTGGTGACTTTGTAGAAGTATTTACAATTGGAGTTGAGCAAAAATGTCTCGTGGATTCCAAGTTAAAGTGACTCCAATTATTGTACTTGCCCATTTGTCATTCATAGCAATAACGACCCTTGTGTTAGTTTGGCTGCTACACTTCCGTGAAGGTGTTGCTTTAATTTCTTCCAACAAAACCAAGATTTTCAATGTGAGTTGTTCAAGCCATGTAATTGATCATATACTATGAAATTCATTTGACCATCTAGCTAGTTATAAGTTTTTTTTTTTTTTTATCTGCAGCTGCATCCACTTCTAATGGTAATTGGGTTCATTTTAGTTGGTGGAGAAGGTAAGCATAGCTCTATTTGTTTTAGTTCTTTTTTTTTTTTCTTTTGATTGCTCATAATTTATAACAATGGCCAGTAGGATTTGCATACATATATAAGCAGAGGCGGACCGGCGCCGTTGCCTGTGTCTGTGTCTGCACATGCAGACACAAAAATTTGAGAATTTTTTTTTTTTCAAAGGAGTGGGTGATTTAGGTCAAGTAAAAAAAAATTATGAAGATTGAAAAAAATAAAATAAACATAGGCTCAACCCAACCTAACCAATCCAAATAATTAAAAGCTTAAAGCTTAAATCCTATTCCATTGCTTTGTCTCTTCTTCTTTTTTTGAAACATAAACATTATTAGCTCTAAACTTTAATAGACATCAATGATTCTTGAAATTCAATCTTCATCAAGTGAAGAAGAATTACACGAGATTTTTCACGTTTTTTTGTGAAGCAAAAGTGACATTTTAGAGTGTAGACAAATAGATCTTTGATCAACTTTGGATCAAATAGACATCGACAAAGGTAGATTTTTGATCAATTAACCCTTACAATTAATACATTTAAATTTTTCTTTTAAATAAATCTTCGACGGCGCTGCCCCGAACCCCCACCTAAGTGTGCACACATTAACAAAAATTTCTGGCTCCGCTGTATATAAGGGTTGAGACTTTGTTTTCTTTTTTGATTTTGATTTTGATTTTCTTATAGTGACTTGAGTCTAAATTTTTTAGAGTAATTAATGCTATGAGGTCAACACTTAAATTCTAAAATTTTCACAATTGTTCATGTGTCTCCATTTGAATTCAATAATTGTTATAATTTGTTCAACAATAATATTGGTAAGTTGTAACAGCTATAATGGCATACAAGTCCATCCCTGGAAAAAGAAGCTCAGCAAAGGTGGTTCATCTCCTATTGCATCTGATAGCTATGGCAGCTGGAATATCAGGAATTGTTGCAGTTTTCAAATTTAAGAAAGAGGCGGGTCTTCCTAATATGTATACATTACACTCTTGGCTAGGCATCTCAGCAATCTGCTTATTTGGATTGCAGGTAATTCCATTATTAACATCTTTCATCTATACCAAATGATAGTAAATTAGCGCATGGGAGCTGAGCAGGTTAAGGTGAGAGCATGTATTCGATCCTTCCCACTATTATTTTTGGGATGGGTTTAAAGCTCATTTGTTTGCGCTTTTCAAACAAGTAACTTTTATCTCTTCCTTATTTTAGAAATGCTTTTTATAAAAGTTAAAGCTATTTATATTTTTATAAAAATATTTAGTTTTTGAAAAAAAATATTTGACTTTTGACTTTTGCTTTTCTTAGAAGTTAAAATTTTTAGCTTCCGGAAAAATTAAGTTTTTGACTTTTTTTGTGACTTCTGTTTTTTTAAAAGCAGACATCCAAACGAACTAAAAACGAGAAGTGCTTTTTTTCTTAAAAAAACAGTTTTTGAAGAAAAAAAAGCTCATTCAAACGAGCCCTTAAAGCCTTAATCTGGATCCACACAAACAGAATCGCCTCCCATGAGAAATATACGTGCTTTATTAAAAAAAAAAAACAAATCTTCCATATTCCTAAACATACTTATCCCTCTTTTCTTCTTGTGATAGGATGTAAAGTCACCATAACATGTAATTTGAATTTGGATACCATGGTCCATGTTGAATTAACCAGTGTAAAACTTTTTTTTTTCTTCTTCATTTTTTCAGTATATATTGGCCTTCTTCGCTTATTTCTTCCCAGGAGCAGAAATGTCTGCGAGAGCTATGATTTTGCCATGGCACAGGTTTATAGGCATGGTCATCTTCCTACTTGCTGTTGGCACAGCTGAGTCCGGTTTGGTTGAATATTTTAATTCTATAGGGCTATTCCGCAACCAAGAGGCACTAATTGTGAACTTCACTGGTTTATTACTCTTTCTGTTTGCTGTCTTTGTTAGCCTCTCTGTCATTCTCCCAAGAAATTCCTCTTGAATATATTTGAGTTTGTTGCAACAAGTATCTTCTGTAACTTCAAAAATTTATCACCTTTTCATAATTCAATAAATCTACTTTGTTAGATTTTGTTCCACAAAAAGCTTTAGTTAAAATAGTGTACCGGAGGCGGTTCATAAATGTGTCCCATGAAAGGTAAAGTATGTCAATCTACGGATGCTCATAGTGACAATGGTAGAAATCAAAGCACTGTAGAGACTTCTCATGGTGTGCATCAAGAGAGGGGGAGGGTATGAGGTTAGAATGGCTCTGCATAGAGGCAGAATAACAACACATGCAAATGGGAAGAAGCGATTTCATCCTCAATGTGAGAGGGGGTATTTAAAGAGAAAATCTCTGCCCAAGCATGAGAGAGAGGTCATTTTTGCTATTCACTAGCCTTGTCTTGTCAAGGCATGCTGCCCAACTGTGTACAGGGGCAACAGGTGCATAGGGAGAAGAACATTCTCTTGTTGACTCTCTATGACTCTTTAATAGATGTTTTTTAGAAGGTTCTAGATATGAGTTTAGTAGCATAGGGTTCAACTGTTGAGCCTAAAATAAGTATCCAAAACAAATAGCATTAAAAATATAATTATGAGCGGGGGAAAGGGATGCCCATCTAGTTTTTCTATTTGACACCTCTTAATAAAGATTTTTTTTTTTGGTACATTGTCAGGAGGTATCCTCATTCAACCTTCTCCGGGCACCATGCCCTCGGGGTACGGCCCGTTTGGGCTAGCCTCTCATTGTAACAGTGGGTGCACTAAGCTTCGCAACCGGAGAAAGGACGAGACTAATCCCCCAACCGAAGATTTTTGCCTTATCCTCTGGCCCCCAAAGATTTTCCAAGAAACTGCTTGAGGCAGGGTTTGATCCCTGCACCAAGCAATCCCTTAGGAGCTCAGCTGCCAACTGAGCTACCCTTGGGGGTTCTTAATAAAGATTTTAATGTATGTGATTGTATAGGAAAACCATAAGCGATTACTAATGGATGGATTATGATGTATTGATCCAAAATATAAACGTTAATTGAAATATTTGAATGATAAATTCAGAAATTAGTAAGTTAAAAATCTTCTTAAAAATATTAGCAACTTGCAATATTATTATTGGAATTTTTCAAAGCCACTAGATTCATCTAGTGATAAGGTATCTGACCAGTTTGTATTAAGTTAAGTATTCAATTTTCATTGATGTATGCAAAAAAAATTATTGGAATTTTTCATTATAAGTTACAAAATTAAGATTTAAAGAATGGAATTATAAATACGTAATAGAATAATATTTTTAAGGCATTTTAATAACGTATTTTTAAAAGTAAAGTATATATATTTTATTTATTAAAAATGAATGAACGCTATTGTTGTGTTGAAAAAATTAAAAAATTCCAAAAGAATTTAGAAAAAAAAATAAAAAACCAAGAAAGAAATAAATGAATAAAAGTCAGAAACTAAAAAAAAAGTATATAAAAATTTTAAAATTATCGTGATAATAATAGTGAAAGAACTTTTAGCCTTGTGAACCCTCATATAATCATTGCATTTATCAAGCATGATGTGAATTCGATTCAATGTAAGATGAACTTTATAGTTTTGACCACTAAGGTGTTAAGTGACTTCAATTTGCGGATATTTATTGGGTTGGGTTTATATGATAATCTTAATAATCAAAATCAAACTAATTAAATGGGTTTGTTCATTCAGAGTTGTTTGAATCGGATAATTAGTTAACTATCCGTCAAATCTCCATTTAAGTCAATTAGCATCGGTTGAGATTTTGAATTCATAATTTTTCAAACTCATACTCAAATCCCAACCCCATTATTTTTAGTTAAACTTTTTTTTTTTTTTTGGTAGATAAAATTTTAAAATTTTTAAAGCAGTATAATAAATATGGTATGTTTGCTTAAAGTCAATCCGAGAGAGAAATAAAATAGTACATATAAGAATGAAACGTGAAGAATCCAATTTGAGCTGGTTGGTTAGAAGTCACACACTGATTTGAGTGGTAGTAATCATATTCTCTTTCACTACCACATTGATGAACAAGTTTCAATGGTGGAAATGGTTAGAAAAATGCTTAACACAATTGCACCTAGCCACCTATGATGCACGAAGACGCAATAACTGGTGCTCAAATATATTATTCCCAAAATAATAATATCTTGTGAGGGCACCATTGAACATTATTCTCCTTTATGCCCCATCTGCTAAGAGTCCTACAACTAATCATATCAAACATTTTTACTCTCTCCAGCAGTGTTTTTCATGCATAAAATAATCGGTTTGATGTTTATAAGAGATAAAATTATCTCCAACACAAAGTGTATGAAATTCTTGTGAATAGAAAAGAGAAAAAAAAAATAGGCTCTGCACTTTTTTTTTTTAATAGCAAAAAGTTTAAGTGGCGTTAGATACCGGTATCCCACCAGAGTCAAGGAAGATCTCCCAACTTCTTTAAGGATTTTTGAGAGGGATTATATATCATTCACCAACAAAATCTTCACATCACCCAATAGGATTTAAACCCATTCAACCCTTAGCCAATTGTGCCCCATATATTGTTACGTGTGTGAGATAATTTTATCTCCTATAACATGATAGATATTAAACCCCAAAATAATTGATAAGATCCCACATATTCTTAAAATTGTCCAACATCACAATGTCATGAAAAGCTTAGGGAATCTATCAAGCATATGGATCAACTCAACAAATTAGCAAATATATATTGGTTTCCAAGATTTTTGTTTCTTGTTAAATATTAGGTAAGCACCAATTAAGAGCTGGTATTGCCAAATCAAATGCAACTTAGAGAGAAAGAAGGGAAATCTATATACAACAGTAATTTATTGTCTTAGTTATATAAACATGAAGTGCAAGCTCTCATGAAGAACATGGCTAGATTCATGTTTCTGCACTCTCAATTTTGTGAAGAAAAATATGAAGGACAAAACACTCTTATTCTTGAATTTATCAATAGAAAATTATATATTCTGAATAAGAAACAGATAAAATTCCAATGGCAGAAAATCAATAAATTACACACATTTTACCAGTATTCTTAGAAAGAAAAATAATTTTCTTTTAGGAAAAAAAAAAAAAAAAACACTAAAACCATTGCTGTTTTGTTGCATCCATTCTCTTCAACAAACCATCAATCTCATCTTTCATTCTCATTTTCATTTTATCATAATCAAAATGGGAATTTTTTAAGACATTGAATTCCTCAAATTTCTTCCTCCTTTTTTCCTCTGTCTCATGCAGACAGAGTTTGCCAAACTTCTCAGCATACTCTTCTTCCATCTGTGCAGCCTTTGTTCTGAAAATCCTCTGAAACCCTTCAGCCTCTCTTCTTGCTTCATCTGCCTTGGTTTGGAACATTCTGGCTTCAGCCTCTTTTATCCTCACAATGCTCTCCAAGCTTTCAAGCCCACCTTCCCTTAATAAATTCCCCAACTGAAAATCAGTCTCATTTTTCACTTCACTTAAGAGGGAGGTTTTGAGGTCTTTCTGATGATGATCATTGGACCTAGAATAGCTCAAGTCATAAGTATATTTTGGTATTAGAGAATGAGATTGTGAAAGAGATGCTGTGTCCTTTGTAATGTTAGCCTGAGATGCTGACAAATCCTTTGAAGATATACCAGAAGCAGGAAAGTCTGACATGCCATCCGCATCTATTTATCAGAAAAATCTTTCAAGTTAGATATCAGATATCATCAGTATAAATGTATAATTAAATCAAACAAGCATTCATCATCACAAAAAGTTAATATAAGCTAAGCAAGAGATAAGGTAAAGCTGAAGAAGGCTTATACATAGTTGTGGGGACATTTGATCGAAAGAACACAAGGTCACATTAGGCATGAATTCTCAACGTAACATAATTCATTATCCATGTAAATCAAGCATCAGAAGACTAGAATTAATTATTATATAGTAACAGTGGTAAAGCTGTTCTTTCATGACCAAAAGGTCATGGGTTCGAATCCAGGAAACAGCCTCTTTGCAATTATGCAAGAGTAAGGCTGCGTACAAGGATTACCTCCACCCCACACTCGCTAGTCAGGTTTAACGGGGAGTGGTTTTTTAGTGTTAAAAGAACATTCATCTTCTTTTATTTCTACAATCTATGCTAAACAACTAACCGATCCCTTAATTACAAAATCATTCCATAACCCAATTGTCAAATGACCTTGAAATCCTAAATCAGTTAGAGATCAAATGTCAGCAATATGCTGTCACCAAAAGTACACCTCTCATCAATAAGAAGCCTGGGGTGGGGGTAAATATCCAAGCTGTACAAATAAAGGTGAATCTGGATGTGGAAGATAACTAATCTTATATAATACTCAACATAGCTTGATTTGATGTTATAGAACATCTGGTCGAATCTGAAAATCGTTTTATATTATACATAGCATTCTCAATCTCCATATAATCCACTCTAGAAAACATATAACATCAACAAAATTTAAGGTTTTCAATTCTCATTCTTAGTAACCAAATCAATTCTCATCTTGCCCTGAATTTTCTTCCTGAAACAATTAGTGGCTACAAAAATATAAGAAATGGAAAGATAACTCATTTTAAAGGTTCAATAGTAAGATAAAATGCTCATCGTCTGTTACTATTACTTCTTTTTTTCTTTTAATTTTCTTCATATCTCAGCAGCAATGCTTTCTCTCCACCACATCAAATTTGTGTCCATCCTTATTGATAATCCTACTAGTTTTGCACTCACTGATAATAAATAATAGTGCTGCAATCCCTTCCTATAATGAGAATACTGTTTTCATGCAATGGCGTGACTAACATAAATGTTTAAATTAACAGATAAATTGAATATGAAAAGTAAAGACCAAGGTTCAGAAACTTACAGCTGAAAAACTTGATGATGTAATTGCAGGCATCCAAAGGAGATACCAGTTTAGCTTGAAGCTTTAACAGCATGCCATCGGTTTTAATATGCAATTCCTTCCCTTTGCGATCTTCACTTCCCCTGAAAATTTTCCTTACACAATCAAGCTCTTTCATCAAGGTTTCTAGGCCCCAATCCTTCGCGCAACACACAAAGACCTCCTTAACAAACCCAAACATTTCAGAAGCATGTCCACAGCTAATACAATGAAACTGAATCTCAAAGGTCCCTGGAGGACCCTTCAAGCTAGGCCCAGGTTTGATTAGATTCCTCTGAATGCCACAGGCAGCATGACACCAGTGAGAACAAACATCACAACCTACCCAACTACAAGTGTTATTTGCACAATCAAAGTTCAAACAAACAGGACACATGCAAGAACTGCAAAATCCCTTATTTCCAGAGCAAATCTTGCAGTCACAGTCATCAATAGGAAGCAAGCTCTTGCAGTTCACATTTCTACATCTTATATACAAGAAAACCTCCACCATCTCAGAGAATTGAAATTTGTCAGATAAGAAACTTCCAAGCCCCATCTTGATAGCAACTAAAATCTCTAATTGCCCTTTATGGCACTTTGAAAGAGTTTCTTTGGTAAGATCAGATCTTCTCTCAAGCCGGTTCTGGAGGTTCACTAATTCCTCTTTCTTCTCTGGCATTTCAAAGAGTTTTTTCAAGTATTCCTTAATCGATGTTATGACTTCATCAGCAAACTCCTGAAATGTCAATGCCATGGATGGGATAGACTCAGAAACAATCTCCCTAAGAATTCTCTCTGGTCTAGAAAGGTTCATTATTTTCCCACCATCTACAACTTCCAAGCCTCTCACATGCTCAGAATTCTTTCCCCTTGAGCCCTCTGACTGAGCTTCAAATCTTGGCCTAGCAGGCAAATCCGAGGGGAAAAAAGAATGGTTATCTGAACTAGTAGTTTTATACTGACTATTATTCCCTTGCATAAACGAATTAAGGCCAACACCACCACCATGATTGGCCAAAGCAACCCCATCTCCTATTGGCTTGAACCTACTATGAACTGATCCATTAGTCCCCTCCCCACAATACCAAATTTGATCATCTTTGCTCAATGAATACTCAAAATTCTCTGTTGAATTACGTGTAAGTGAGCAACTTTGGTTGTGTGAGAAGGGGTGAGAATAAGAGTATGATAGTGAAGCTGTTGTATAATCATTTGAACATGAATTGTGCGTAGTTGTTGATGGCCTGCTAGGTTTTGGCCTAACAGGTTGGTCACCATTTTGTATAGCGTTTGAAGCTGTGAGAGAAAGTGACACATCAGGCAAAGCAAGAGAGAGATTAAGTGTCTCAAGCTTCTGCTTCTTGCCCCTATTTTTTTCCCTTTCACCCTCCTCTTCCTCAATGGATCTCTTTGAAGAGTTCTCCTTAGTTTCACTCAAACTCAAAAAATCTCTTTCTACCCATTTCTCATCTTGATTTGAATTCTCAGAAATGATAACTTCTTTACCTTTGAAAGTCAAGCTTTTATCAGGAACAACCTCTTTCTTAACAAGGTCCAATTTTGGGTTATCACAGAGGTAACTGAGGGTCAACTCTTGCAACCCAAAACTCCCAACTTTTGAGGGTATTGACTGAAACCCATCCACAACCACCTCTGAATCTTTGAAAAAACCAATACCCTTCTCTGGATAACTCAGTTTTTTCTCTTCTGTGTTTTCCTTGCCATACCCAAAATCATGCTTCTGTGACTCCTTCGTCCTTGAGTTTCCACCCTCAGAGTCAACCCCATTGGGAAGAAGATCTTTACTTCCAATCATGGCAGATGGAACAACACCACAAGAAAGAGAGACAAAAGAACCTTACCCAAAGCAAAGACACACAGACAGAGAGAGAGAACACAGAGACCGAAAACAAAAACTAGGAACAAACGAAACGGGAATAACTCCGAAAATAAGCGACAATCTCGGGAGTTCTTTTGTTCTCAGCTTTGGTTTTGATTCCTAAACACGACATAACTCAACTCTACAACGTGCGGAGTTTACTATTTCAAGCGTTTACAACTTAATAAAATTGGAGAAAAATACATGTGTGTATTTACAGTCATAGCCCTTGGAAATATATTGAATTACTGACTCCGGCGTGGACCTGGTTCTGAGCTCAAAAGCAAGGATACGCGTTCTTTTAAAAATTTTGCCTCTCGCACATCAACAAGTTCAGACAAGTGTCTTATGCTCGGTCAACTCTTCGATATGTTTTCTTTTACACGCAATCAATCTTTTTTGACACGCGGTCAACGCTTTGACACGTATTTTACACTTTTTTTTAATTTTAATTTTATTTTAATAACTAAATATAAAAAAAAAATCAATTTATAAATCAATTTTTTTCTGTTATGAAATTTGACATTAAAAATTAGCAAAGTACGAAAAATTATTTATATTTATATTTATATTATAAAATTTGAATATTTGATTGATTATATGACTTATTATAGACTGTTTATGTATTAAATATAAATTATATTATATATGTTAAAAATTTTATTTAATATCAAAATGTGTCTCCACGTGTCGAAATATGATATTTTTTATAATTAACGTATTAGCGTGTCGCATCGTGTTCTGTGTCCCGTAACAATATCAGTGCATCATTAATTCTCAGTATAACCTTTTTCTTCACCACTATTTCAGAACAACGACCTGGACCAGGAATCACAGCCATTTTTTTAATGTGATGCAGGAGCATATTATAGTTTCATGGTCCTTTTAAAAAAAAAAAGTCAAAATTTCATTTCATTTATATTCTTTTTTTCTTTTCAAATTCTCTTCCAATTTTTTTCCCTTATATTTGGAAAGGGAACACCTATTCCAGAACCATAGAAAACGAGCTCGAATCACATCTGCATAAGTTTTTACTTAAAATTTAATGTAATAATGAAGAAGTTAAAAAAAAATTAAAATTAAAAAAGTTTACTAAAGTAATGTTCTTAAATTCGCATTTGGGTGCATTTAAGGGGAGCATGTTCAAATCACGTATAGGGTAAGAGCGCGTTTGAGCAACTAATGTATTTTTTTTTTTTTTCATATTTGATAAAGAATATACTGAATGGTTGATATATCTATAGAACTGAAAATAATTTTTCAATTCAAATGCTGACCAATTGTGGAAGACGTGAATGCACGTGACTAGCCATGCATGAATCAATAAAACTCAGTCACATTCATATTGTAGTAAAGTAACTATGATTAATTTGTTCAATACCCGAACACCTATCTTATGCGCGATTTGGACACGCACCTTTTAAATGCGCAATCAAATACATCATTTTAGTAAATCTTTTTGAATTTGAATTATGTTCATATATTTTTTTGAAAATTTGCTTTTCTATGGTCAAATTTTTTTTTTTGTTTTTTTCCCTTCAAGTTTCTTATGTTTTGTGATTTTGCGTTATTACTATTCTTTTTCTTTTTTTTCTCTCCTTTTGAGCATCCATAGGGTTAAAAGGAGATCAACAACATTTTGGGCCAAATTTAATGTTCAAATTCCTTTTGAAAAGTCATTTGATTGTGACAGTGTCGTTTGAGCTTAAGACTCAGTGGTCAAAGTTGGCGAAAATGTTTTCTTGTTTTCCCGCAATGAATCATGTAAACATTACCTTCCAAATTATGAGATCTAAATTTCCATGCACGGTGTTAATCTAAAAGGCTTTCTAAATGATCGTTTAATTATTAAAAAATTTAATGATGTACTATATTGTTATTGACCAATAATAAAGAGACTTTTGTATTGATGTAATAAAGTAATGCTAAAATTAAAATTAGAATTAAATAAGTTTTTATGAGAAAAGCATTTGTCATTTTAAATGACACAATAGATAAAATGACGTTATTTTTGTGTATAATTAATATTTTTTTATCTTTTCTCTCTTTTATTTTTTCTCTCTTCCTAATTTTACGGAGGGGAGAAAATGTAAAAAGTTATCAAATATGTACCAAAACAATGTCATTTTATTTAAAATAACACAAAGTTATATCATTTTAAATTATGACCATTCAAAATTTCATACAATTATTTATTTGAGCAATTATTTTAAGGATTATACTTCTTTCATTCTATATGAGATAAACCAAAAAAATTTACATACACATAACAAAAGTGGGTTTCATATGTGTTTTTTCTTTCTCCAATTATTTGTTAGTTTCACTTAAAATTTTATTTCAGCAACATAAAATAACTCATTTTCAATGATATAAGAAAAAGAATTCCCTTATTTTAATCACAACATTACTCATGATAGTAATACTAAAAAAAAGTTATTAAGAAAACAGTTTATAAGTAATCAAGTATGAAATTACAAGGAGTCATTGAACAAAATTGTACTTATAAGTTGAATTTATTTTTATTTATTTTTGGCATTTTGTCTAACTGCATAAAGTAGGATCCCAATATTTTCAATAATTTCAGGTCATTTTATTTAGTAATACAATTTTGTTTAATGTACAAACGAAGATTAGTATATCTGGGAAGACCAGGTCAGCAGGAACCAAATATATATCCCATGTTTCTTAGTTTCGAAGTCATGACTCACGACGAGATGTTCCCTCGAAGTTTCCTATAAGATGTAAGTGAAGAAATAAATTAGGCTTTATGTACAAAACAACCAAAAAGTCAATATTAACACATTTTCTCTCTCTTTTCTTTTGCATTCATCATTACAACTTATTTTTATCCAATTCAATTTAATTCGGTTGGATTACAAACACTTTTTGTGATCAATACATGAGTTTAGATAACTTGCATTAATGAACAAGACAAAAGGGAGGGATTAAAGAGGGTGTTTACTGTTTATGTATTTAGTTTGAGATCCAAAATAATACATTTTGTTGAATCATCAAAATATTTGTGAAATCAAATTAGTTCTTAAATGATAATTTTTGTTATTGAATGAGATCAATTTCATAAGAATGCGGTTTAACAATCAAATTTTAAAATTGCTTTTTAAAATACAGAAAAGACTATTTCAACCGTCAACCCGCGACCAATGCAATAATCTTAGTACCTATTTTTTTTATTTAAATTTGGTTTTTTTTATCGAACCTTTCAACCTGCCAAACACTTATGGGCAACTGAACTTTCAAGGGTTTGCTTAAGTCAGGGGTTCAAACCCTGTCTCAAGCAAATTCTTGAAAAAAATTTGAAGGCCAGAAGATATGTCTCTCTCTTCGAACGTGGGATTAGTCTCGTCCTTTCTCTGGTAGCGAAGCTCAATGCACTCGTTGTTCCAATAAGAGGCTAGCCTTCAGGACTATACCCCGAGAACAAGGTGATCGGAGAAGGTTGAATGGAAATATCTCCATATTACTGCCAAATGAATAATTGCTCAAATAAATAATTGGCATTAATAGAAATTAGACTGAATCTGCCAAAAATTGGCATTAATAATTGGCATTAATAATTGGCAAAAATTCCCAACCTGCCAAATGACTTATTCTTATTATTCTTATATATTGACCAGCTTGATCTGAATCTGGTATTACTGAAAAGTAAAAGTATCACGTTTCCCTTTTTAATGGGACTTCCTTTGAAGGGAATTAACAAATAACATTAAAGGGGCGTATGTAGATTATTTTAGAAATTCTGAAAAAGTGGGGTTGAAAAAAATATTTTCTAATGTTTGGTATGAAAAAATTGAAAATATTTTCGGGATACTTTTTTACCATCATTCCAGTTTTAACTGTAGAATCTCAAATTAAAATACCATACAATACATGGTATTTTTATTTTCTCACAGAATCAGTATAATTAACTTAACATTTTCGGAAAAAAATTGGACCTACCAAATACCTTTTCGTAATGAAAGAAAAATTTCAGATAAAAAAAATATCTCCTATACCAAACGCTCCCTAAGTGATAATAATTATTATTAAGGAGAAATATTTTTTATGTAGTTTTTCTCTTTAGAAAAAAGATGGTAGATCCAATCATATTTTTGTGTCTCCTAAAGAGATTCAAAATTTATTGTTATTGCATAGATTTTCAAGGAACAGATTCACTTACCATCAAAAAAATTTATCACTTTTACAACTAATTTATCACCGTTTATTTCCGTCAATCTAACGGTTATCATCTATTAGAAATCAAGCTTTGTAAGAGTGGTAAAAAAATTTTATGGCAAGTATATCCTGCCCCTAGATTAAATCCCCTTATTAGGGATGTTAACGGACCGAGCCGAGTCGAGCTTTGATCTTAACGGGCCAAACTTGTATTTAAACGTGTCCGACTGGCCTTAGCCTGTTATCTGTTACGAATATAATATTGGCCTGTGGCCTGATTTATTTTAAAAAAATAAAAGCCTGTGTAAATCCTGTCTTAGCCTGTTAGCATGTTAAAGAATAAAAATAAGAGAATAGAATTTCACAAAAAATCAATTTTCAGATAGAAACCTTAGCTTCCAATTTGCAGCAATAATTTACAAAAAAATAAAAAAAATTATAGTGAGAGAAGGTAGATAACAGGTTATATTATCTTAGCCCATTATAAAAAAAGTGCCAACAAAAATAAAAATAAAATAAATAAAATAAAAAATAAATTGACACAAACGAGCAGTGCACAGTGGAACGAATGAGTTTTTGGGGGTTTGTTTGTGTGAAGGAGGATGAAGGATAATATAGAACAACACTAGTAATTCCATAAATATACATAAATTCAATATATATTCAAATAGCATAATATAGAACAAAATCATTCAAAAAGTCTGTTAAACCAATAAAATGGGGTGAAATAAATTGATGAGAGAGAGTTATTACAAGTAGTATAAAAAGTATAAATAAATATTTATATACTAGGCTAGCCTGGGAGGCTCTAAGGCCGAGCTTCTGAATTAGAGCCTGAGACCTTTTTATTAAACGAGCTTTTATACAAGTCCAAGTCAGGTTCCAACACGAGCTTTTATTAAACGAGCTCAGGCCTTTACGAGCCGAGCCAAAGGCCCCTGAAAGGCCCCTGGCTCGTTTACCACCCTACCCCTTATTATTATCAATGAAATAATAAAAGACACAAAATTTGTCATTTTCACAAATCAATTAAGAATTTCGTTAGGTATCATAAGCAGGAGCAAACTTACCCGGACCTAAAAAAATTAGGTGGGACTGAAGTGAAAGAAAGAGAGAAAAAGTTGAGGAGAGAGGAGAAAGAAAAGAAAAATAAATAAATTTAATACAGGTGTCAATTTTTAAGTGGAAAGACCACGGTAGTCTCGGAGCATATTAAAAAATTCCCGTAAGCAGGCGCGGCATTAAGATTTTTATTTTTTTTTCTGGTTGAGAATGTTTGAACCTCAAATTTGGGGAAAAAGAACGCTCGATTATTAATTATTATCAAGAGAGTTCATCGGGAAATTACATAGTTGATTACAATCATCATCACAATAATTAATCTAACATATAAGGTAATGGATGTTCAACAACCTAATAACATGTCTCTCAAGTCGTGTTAATTGGATTAGTCTGACTTTTTGAGATTTCTCCATTTGGTTCATCGATTAATTAATTAATTTGATCGAGTCGAGCAAGACCATAATGGCAATTAAACTCTTATAACCAAGTTTTTAACACAGTTGTATACTCATGACTCTAAATGAGACTACTAATTAAATTGGAATAATTCCGTCCCAATTAATTCACATGCTAATCTGAATTCTTGAAATTAAACAAAGTGTCTTTCTGAAATGGGTTCAAGTCATATTTCAAGTTTGCCCTTCCTGACTTGATGACATATAATACTTCAGAACTTACGATGCTTTAAGAAAATTAATGTTATTATGAGACTTCTAAACTTAAATAAATAACTTTGTATAATATAGTAGTACTTTTGTATTGATATAGTTTATTTCGAAATACATATTAATGCCAAAGCAAATTGAAATTAGACTAAACAGAATCAGGATTCAAAAGTAGCTTCCCTCATTAATATTCTTCATTAATAGAAAACAACCTAGACAAATCGGGTTTTCATCGCCTTAAATAAGTAATTAAGAATAGAAAATAGAAAATTATTAAAACACAACTAACAATTAAAAAAAGATTAAATAAATTAGAAAAAATCCAAAAATTCATGAAAATGATCCCAAAAATGTTGAATATCATACCGTTTGAGATCAACCTTATTTAAAAGCCCAATTTTAAGTGTTCGGTGAAATTTGAGCTTATTTTAAGTTGGTTGTCCCAGGTGTATTGCATATTGTAAAATATGTTTGAATTTTATTTTATATTTTTAAAATTATATTACATTATATTTTATAAATATATATATATATATATAGTCATGATCATCTTACACCGATGTAAGTTACACTCTTAATCTTGATTGTTGATCTTATTTATATCTAACGATTGTGATTTATTAAATATTTGAACTGTTATATAGAATCAAATAACTCATCAAGTTTGGTATAAAACTTCTTATTTTTACACTGATATAAGAAGATCATGTCCGGTATAAACTACTTTTGAGTGGACTTAATTTGGATAAGGGGGAATGATCTGTTTACAAATTTTTTTTACAAATTACACTAAGTATAACACGGTCATACATTCTTGATTGAAGTATGACCCGTCATACTTAATGTAATTTGTAAAAGTTTGTAAACAAAAAATTTGTAAATATAAATAATTTGTGAAAATAATGTCCCATCAAAATCAGAGTAGTGACTTCAAACATAACCATGGCTGAAGTTAAAAATGTCGTGTTGTGGGGTTAAATATTAATTTTTCTTTTGGGGGGATCAAACATAAAAATTCTATAAAACTTTAAGAAAAATCAAATAAAATTAAGGAGAAGGATATTGTGACAACCAAGTTGTGTTACTACCAAATGACTACCAATCAATCTCACCGTTAGATCGATTATGTTCATCCAACGGTTATATTTATTTCCATCTTTGTATGGTCATGATTTCCCAAATTTAATACTTTATATTTATTTTTACCTTTGTATGGTTATGATTTCCCATATTTAATACTTTCACTTTAAATATGGGGAATCATGACCATATAAAGATGGAAATAAATATAACTGTTGGATCAACATAATCGATGTAACAGTAAGATTGATTGGTAGTCACTTGGTAGTAACACAACTTGATTGTCACAATATCCTTCCCCTAAAATTAAAGGAATCTTTCAAGCCTTGAGATAGTTAGACCCTTGGATCCGCCTATGCCAATCACATAATATTAATGTGTACCATTAACAACATATAGACTGCCACCGAAAAAAAAAAAAAAAACATATAGACTAATCAATGCTAAAATCCAGTCGAACTCAGCCACAAGTTAACAAGGCCAAAAAAATTCACCCAAAAAAAAAAGGAAAAAATGCAAGTACTCATATTAAGTCCGAATATGTTTACTTAAGAAAATATAGAATGTGTCATACCAATAATCATAAAATTCTTAGATAAACTCATTCTGTTTAAAATAAGTGAACCAAACAATTTTCCAAGATACACAAAGACCATGCTTTGTCAATAACCTAATGGGGCTTTTCCTGGCATCATAGTAATTAAAAGAGGCAATTTCTTTAACTACACCACTTGAGGGATTTAAAATTGATCAATGTAAAAAACTGACCCAAAAATACACTTGCTTACAACCAAAAATACAGTGAGAAAATGTGAATTTTACGTAGGATACATTAGGACATTTGAATATACCTAGGCCTAATTCATTACTATCAAATAAACACATGTCAGACAAACTTCAATTTATTCTGTCTTCCAAAACTTCCTATGGCACAATAGCTACAACATCAATAATGATGCGAAATACAAATGATAAGAAACAATTAATAATGAAAATTTCAAATAAGCTCATACACATCTCACTGTACACTGCAAGCACTATTAATTAATTATTTCATGTCTGAAGAGAATGAAGATAAAGATGAAGAAACTCAAAAGCTTCAGAGTGAGACCATGAGGAGATGTAGATGTTTGTGCATGAGGTGCCATTGCTACAAAACTAGTATTTGAACTCAATTAAGATAAAAAATATTAAAGCCTCAGAGTGAGATCAGGGGATGTAGATGTTTGTGCTGGAGGTGCAGATGCTACAAAACTAGTATTTGAATTATGAGCATGTTCATGCCCAAAATTAACACCACCTCTTTCATCTATCCTCCGGAAACTGCCAGGCCAAAATAGACCTACATCATCATCTTCCATAAACATTGGTGTTCCGAAACAGTCTTTCTCAAATTTTGCAGCAGCTCTCATATCAGGAGCCTTCACCAATGGCATATGTCTTTGGTGCATTGCAGAATGAGCTTCAATACCAAGCGACCGAAAAGAAGAACCATGAAGTGGTAAAGATGCTAAGCTTCTATACCTTTCATTGAACATCCCCATTCGCATTGTGCGCTTTGCCATTGTCCTCTCCCTTTTATGAGCATTCTGATGGCCACCCAATGCCTGTGAGCTGAAGAACTTCCGCCTACAATAGTTACAAGAGAAAAGTCTAGGAATTGCTGATGCTGAAGCATTAGTTTCAGCTCCCACTTCACTGTTAGTATCACTTGTACCCTTCAATTCTTCATCACTTGAATTGAAGTTGAGGGTCAAGTCAAGGGAAATAGAACCTGGATCAGGATCAGTCTTTGTAAGATTTTTATGACAGGAAGAAATGGTGGTGCTGTCCTTGGTATGATCATGGGATGTTTCTTGTAAGGATATATTGAAACCTACTTGGCTGCTAGCTTCTAAATTATTTTCAGGTTCCAGGTTCAAATTTGGTGTCATCATGTTTATATGGATCTGCTTTATATGAGCCAACTTCTTTCCCAATAAGAAATTGGAATGAAACAAATTCCTCACTTAGGACAGCTTAGCATATAACCATCACCTACGTTGATGATGAAATACATTATTTGCTATGATAGAGTGCAAAAATTTGTGTCTGCACAAAAATGGAACATACAAAATTCTGGTATTAATATCAAGTGTCCAAGATCTTCATTCATATATAAGCAAAAATAAAACATGTTTTAATAAAATAAAAATTGAGTATGCAGAAAAGCACAAACATATTGTGAGAAGTCCCTTCTATAAGATAATATTAAATCAGATAATTTAAAGATATGTAAGTTCTCAACAAAATTGAACAATGTCACTCCAGTGCCTCCTAGAGAAAGTATTATCAATAGGTCAAATCTTAAGAGCAAAAACGAATTGCAAAATAAATCTCATCCAGATGCTGGTTCATTTTGTGAATCTCTCCAAGCAACTATACAATTCAAAAGTAAAATTATATTTAATTCATATAGATTTTGTCATATATAAAGTACATTAGTTCCTCCTCAAACAAATTTCATAAAAATAATATAAAACTGCCCAATTTTCTTGTTTGTTAACTTTATCCTTTGCTTTTTCTTTAGACTGAATAATAGTGCTTGATGATACAAAGTGCAAAGACAATAAAGCACCAGAAGAGAAAATAATGTCATAAAACATTTCCAGTACCTTTATTCACATAATCCCTAAAATGTCAAAGCCCTTTAATTAATGTCTGGATACTTGATGAACCAATTGTTTAATATAATTTGAATGGCAGTTCAAGTAAACACCAAAGCTATAGCAGAAAATAAAAACCCTTTGTTGAAGGGGAAACCCTTGAAGGAGTATTCTCTCATTTTTTCTTTGTTAGTGGACATTAAAACAAGAGTGTTCTTTCTCTTTCACTTTCTCTTTTCTATGTTCCTCAGCTCTTTCTCTTTGAAAATTCACACCGTAGAAGATATGACTGAAACATAGCTGAATTTTAAATAAAACATATAATAAATGAATACATTGAATGGTAGACAGAAAATGTTGATTGACTACAGTGACTTGTAAGGTTTTTTATCATTTTCCAGCACCCTTACATGCCATAACTTTCACCCAATTAATATTCAAGCGCGTTAGTAGACTCATCTCCAAAATACCAGCCTGAGGCACCATTACATCCCAAAGAAAAACATTATTTGAGACAAAAAAAAGAAAAGATATAAAGCTAGTGCTAAGTTTTAGAATTATAAACATCTATGAGTAAGAAATTCATTGCAATTTTCATCTCCAAGCTAGTGCTAAGTTGCATCTTGCTGAATTTGCATTCCATATACACCTTTTGTAATTTGCTACTTTTATGACAAATACAGAAAGGGACCTCTCCCTAGTAAGTAGTCATTTTCTTACTGCTTACAACTGGACCAAGAATCTCAATCCAGTACTAATTGCCAAATCTCAGATTACTCGGAGTTAGGTAACTAATCTATGAACTCCTCATAGTAAAAAGTGTGTAATTTTGGTTTTATCATAAATGCATAACTTTCTTTCATTAAGCATACTACTTCCACCATAACAAACTTTGGTTTCTACATGAACCTAGGTGCCAATTAATAAATTCATAAAATGAGAATTACAAAATTTAAAGCCACTAGGTTTGGTTTAGTGGTGAGGGGTTTGGTTAGGTTGTATTAGGTTATGTGTTCAATTCCCACTTGTATCAAAAAAATTAAGCAAAATGTGGCAGAAGAAACCTTATAGGCATATAGAATCAGATTCAAAGCATGAAGAATTTCAGTGCAATTTTATTCTTTCATATTATTGGAGTGGCCTTTTATAACCAAAATATAGCAAAAAAGATTAAATATGTAAGTTTTGTAATGCATGAATATCCCTCCAAGAATATGCAGTAGAGAGCATGACCTTCTTTTTTTTTGGATAAACCACAGGTATCCTCTACGAGAGGCAATCTTGTTTAGATCGAGTCCAGGATTAAGGCTTTAAACCCCTCCCAAATATGGTACTGGGGAGGATCAGAGAGCATGACCTTTACTTATTTCGTTTAGTTTTCATCCAGCAAGAATAGAGTTGTCTATTTCTTTCTCGCTTAAGGTTTGTCTTAACAAAGGTAAAGGTAATCACACAACTAATTGCTGCTTTTGTCTTTTCATGTATTAAGAAAGAGCATCAACTGATTTCTGTTTTGAATGAAATTGATGCACTTAAGTGAAAAACTGAAAATAGTAATTGAACTCTTACGCAGCATGTTCAAAACGTGTGAGCCTGATAAAACAAAAGATTTAATGGAAACAACACAATAAAAATAAGAATCACTAAAAAAGAACAGCAACAAACAGGATCAACCAAAATCATATCAGTAATGCTACTGACACAATCTCTTTTCACAAACCATTGATGTGGCTGCATCTAAGTTCAAGAGTCCCTCTTAAACTTCTTTTTGTCAAATTATATGCAGCCACATTACTAGTTTTTACAATTTGGGAAAAGAGTTTGTGTACGTAAAATTACTCAAACAAAAATATCCACAAAAACAGAGTTGAACATGAAAACCAGGTTTCCACACCATTTCAAGGCACCCAAATTACAAGGTTACAATATTGGTGTACAAGTTCATGTCACCAAAATTAGATTCACTTTTCAAAAATGATATTGAGTCAAATTTACCAAAAACACAGGAATATGTACCTTTTAACAAGGACAAAGGGCAAAACCCACTGCACAAGACTCCCGGACTTTGCAAGAGTAGGGGTGAGAGTTGATTGTAAACAATCTTACCATATAACAAGACCTAAATTAGCATCGTGTTACAGTTTCATAACTGAAAAAATATTTTATCTCCTTCTTCTGGTAAGGGGAACCTGACTCATCTATTGGTGTTGTGTACACTTTTTGTGAGAATGTGATACAACAATCCCATGGGCTATAAAGTTGGTTGCAATTAGTCAATTACAATAAGTCAAACAACATAGAAGTTACACTTCATATTTTCATTGTTCCAAAGAATACACAAATGGAGTCTATCTGACGCACTAAATTACGCAGAGATAAAAACTAACATTACATACTTTAGTTATTGGAACCTATAGTATTATCTCCTTCATCAATCACAAATTACGGAGTTGTCCTTACAAACCATGAATCTTAAGGAAGATTACTCTGCTATAACCTTTATTTACTGGCAAATGCGAAACTTTAACTAAACTGACATGAAAAGGCACAGGATAAACTTTTAGGGAAAATATTACAAAAGTTTAAGATAATTTATTTTAAAATCAGACAGGTTTTTCACATAAGACTCGAAGAGAGTCATGGCCATAAATTTGAGAAAATTAACTCTTCCATGGTTGCATACAAGTAAGTAATCTCAAGATGTTAACCAAATAATTCCTACATCACTCATTAGAGCAACCAGTAATAAGAAAATTGCACAACCTCAAAGGAAATAAGATGAATATCCCCTACTGAGTTTATGGTTCAAACTAGCAAAAAGAACTAAAAGGGCTCTAGAATTAAGAGCAACTAAAATTACCAAAGAAAAGAGATGCTATTAACATAAAATCAGAGTTAGATCTAATTTTTTTTATACTCAAATAGCAGGATGATATCATAATAACTCACCACAAGAACCGTTTGCAAAAATAAAAATAAAATAGATGCAAACACAAATTCCTCAACATCAACAACCAATAATTTTTACTTGCAAGCTAGAGTGAACCTCTACTAAACTCCAGAACACAAGAGAAGCAAAAAAATAAATAAAAAATAAAAGAGTAAAGCAGAGTGTAGAAGCAGCAGAAGGCTTCCAAAAAATGCATGTAAGAATTAGAAGAAAGCATGGCATGAAATGAAAGTCTTAAGGTGAATAGAAGAATGGATAGAGATATACTTACATAGTGAAATGATACTTGAGACTTGGAAGAGCAGTATCAGCAACAAAGATGGGATTGTAGAACTTTTTTTAGTATCCACCAGACCACTATCAAGAAGAGAGAGAGAGAGAGAGAGATGGAGAATTATTGGAAAGCAGATGTAAGAGAAGTTGGTATGTATGATGGAGGAAAATCAGAGAAGTCAGAGAACATGTACTACAACTTGAACTGAACTTTCTTTTGCCCAATTTGAGGTATCTATATGTAGTACCACTTCCCAGTGCTTGACTGCTAATTAATAATCAGTGTGTGTGTGTGTGTCTGAAGAGAGAGAGAGAGGAAAAACATGGACAAACAGAGAGACAAGAAAATGAGTGGGGTAATTTGTGTGAAGACCCACACTTCCAACATGCTCCTTTGGCTTCCACTATGAGAAAGGAATGGTCCACTATATTCAATAATAATATAAAGTGACAATTATGTACTAAAAAATATATATAAAGTGACAATTTTTCTATTATTTCTGTGATTTTTAGTATTATGAAGATAGCAAGATTTTATTTTATTTTTCTATGCTATTAATAATAGATTTATTGTTTCTTATATTATAGCAAATAAATTTATCTCTTATATATACATAAAAATATATGGGATCTATATAAGCTCATGTGAGAAGAAGAGAGAAAGAAAAAATACGAGTCTCATATATTTTTATATTTTTATGTAAAGGTGGCAAAGTGGGCAGCCCGCTTCGTCCCGTCCCACCCTGCCATCAACTCGCCAAAAAATGAGTCAGCCCACCCCTCCCCACTTTTAAAAGTGGGTTGAAAAACTCGGTATGCCCCGCCCCGTTTGGTGGGCTGGGGCGGGTTGGCACGCCAGCTCGAACATATTTTACTGTCTCGCTTCGTCCTGCCTATGTCTGCCATCAATTCACCAAAAAATGAGCTCGTTTTGCCCCGCTCCGCTTTTGAGATAGATTATAAAACTCAGCTCGTCCTACCCCATTTGGCAGGTGGGGCAGGTTGGCCCACCGAAATGAGCCTGTTTTGCCGATCCTATTTTCATGTGTATAAAAAATAAATTTCTCTTTTATAATACGAAAAACAATAAACTCGTTTATCATCCTCTTACATATATGTATATATTGTATATATAAAGGACTCCCATAACTCTCTCTACCCTTTTCCACTTGCAATGTACTTTATCTTTATTTTTCACTTTAAAATTGTTTTCGCACCAATAAGTTAGCACCTTTCTTTTTGGCATTTACTTAGCACCCCCTTTTTTTTAGTTCATAAAACAATAGTGCATAGAAGAAAAGACGCATCTTCGGGATCAACCAACATTTTTTTTTCTGAGTCGTTTGATAGAGGAAAAAAGTGTTTATTGGTAAAAAGTAATTTTTTAAAATATGGCGAAATTTTTTTTTCTGAATAAGTTACTAAACAGTATTTGGTAGATCAATTTTTTTTTGAGAATGTTGAGTTAATTTTGCCACCATATGAAGAAAAATAATTTCACTCCTTCGATAGTAATCTTTTCCAACTATTTTACATAGAAAAGTAAATGATAAAAAAAAAATTCAGTCATATTTTTATTTCACCTCTTATTAAACATAGACAAATAATTTTTCCACCCCATTTTCTAGAAAAAAAAAAATTTGACCTCTTACCAAACACCACCATAATATTGTAGGAAATCTTAGATTTATGCGGAAGCGGTTTAGGACCTAGTACATTGGTATGCTTACCGAATCATCCTTGTTTCACAATTACCTCTCGGTGCGCAGGTCTCGTGTAGAATCTTCCCTTGTAGGATTCCTCTTCACGAACAGCTCACCTCAGCGCCGCAGCACGAACAACCTCCTTGAAGCTGGACTGTGGAAGATCTTCCAAACTATCTCTCGAGGAGGATGAGATGGTTGTGTGGGCAACCGTTCAGATGATGGACGTCTGCCTCTTGGGGTTTGTTTGTTTCTGATGATCTGTTCACCTTGGAGGCACAAGAGGAGAAAACTCTGAATATATACGCTTAGGTCTTAGACATAACTCAACCCTAAGCCTCATGGGCTCAAGTTTCACTGAAGCCCAATAGGACTTTAGTGACCAAAAGAGCATATATCCAACAATCTCCCACTTGCTCTTTAAGATACAAACTTGAGTTCGTAAACCCAAGACCATGTAGCCCATAAGCTATCATCATCTGATAATATACCCCATCCCTTGTCTCGAGCTAGCCTGGGGACCTACCATTTGTCATTGATCAAGGCTCCTGATAATCTTTACAAGATTATCTAATTCGGTGCTACTCCACTAAAAGCCCGAACGTGAACTCCAAGATTAATGACCTTTATAACATTAATATGCATCGCCCCTTTGTAGAATGTCTATAATTGATTGACAAGTTTTCTGTAACTTAATCAATTATTTATTCCCTTGACTATGATAGTTTCTCTAATGGATTACATGCACTGGCCAGTGTCTTTAATATCCAAGTACCAAAACATATCAAGGGGACATATCCTACAAATTCCATGTTGTTTATCTCATAAATAACGATAATCAAATAATCTCACTCCCAAAATACCGAGTTATTGGCCGTCAATAGATCGAACCTCACCCGTTGGTAAATCAAAGAATAAAAACTATTTGATTACCTATTTATAATAAACTCAGAATTAAGAGCAATCACATAACTATAGTTAACTGGAGATTTGATACCTTATGACAGAAAAACAACCTTAATCAAATCTCTCCTTCATCCTTTCAATGTAAATGTTAATTCACACCAATATTTTACAATGATTCGGACAAAATCATTTCATAAAATATTGCAGCCTGAATAAAGTGCCCAACTTTATTTAACGGCTGTGACTCCATTCATCAATTGTGAGAACCTATGATCATGTCCTCCATGAACGTATCCATATGATCATATACTCCACAATTTGATCCGGACCTTTATGTTTGTAAATAGTGCGCAAAATAAATAAATAAAACCTTATTTATGAAATTCAGAAAATTATTTTATTGTTTCATCGTCTTACTCCAAGAGCACAATGAAACCAATAACTCTCACTTGCTTAATGCAAGTCTGGGATCCTCCTAAGACCCAAAGAAGTAACATGCCTCTCGAACACAAGTTCAGGCAAACTCTTAGTAACTGGGTCTGCAAGATTCACCTCTAATGCTATTTGAGTTTAGTGAAAAACTCATAGCTCGAGGTTGATTTTCTTGAGTCAATATCCACTTGAAATAACTGAATTTTTGAAAACTCAGCTTTTCAAGACTCCCACTAGAATATACCAGCATATAACCTCTCGTTCTCCAAAGATACTTGAGTACATGCTTAACAATAATCTAGTATTCCTCTAGGTTCAAAATGGTACTATCTCACTACTCCCACTACGTGACAAATGTCTGGTTTAACGCCCAACATGATATGCATGAATCTACTTTTGCCAAAGCATAAGATATCATGCTCATGCATTCTTCCTTCTCAGGAGTCTTTGGTTACTCCTTAGGAAGATGAATTCCACATCTAAGAATTTATAATTCTTCTCTTAGAATTCTCATGTTGAATTTTGGCAAGAGTTTTGTCAATGTAAGTAGCCTGAGGTGATGCCAACAACTTATTCTTCTGGCCTCATAAGAGTTTTATCCCAAGAATATAATTGGCTTCCCCAGTACTTCCATACCAAAAACTAACTTAGCCAACTCTTTATGCTTGATATTACCTCCACATTGTTTCCAATAAGGAGCATATCATCTACATAAAGTACCAGAAAAAATATTGTCTTCCGTTGTATCCTTTACATACAAATACACATCATTCATCAAGGTTCTCTCAAAATCAAAATTTTGATAACCTGATCAAAACTGATGTTTCAAGACCTGGATGCTTGCTTAAGTCTATGAAATAGACTTTCACAACTTGCATATCGTGTGTTCCTACTCATTTGCTATAAACCCTTTTGGTTGTTGTATGTAGATATCCTGACATCCAACTCCCAAAATGAAATCTCATAATTGAGACTTATAGCAACTAAGAGAATCTGGATAGACTCAAGCATGGCGTCTGGCAAAAAATGCCTCCAAGCTAGCTTTGAAGGTTTTCACCTTTCTGTCCATCCTCTCTTTGCCTTTTATGTCGACATGCACCTTGTGGGTTTTACCCCTCTTGGTGTCTTTACTAGGACCGAACGGAGTTGAAATACAAGTATTTCATCTCATTGTTCATAGTCTGAGCAACACTTGATCAACAACATCTTCTAGTGCATTATCGTAACTAGTAGGATCAATGTCACTCAACAAGAGACAACTTGAGAGTTAACAAGGTTCTCTCCCACTACGAATGTACTGCACTAGACCATGTGTATTTATAAGTAAAACAAAGAGTGGGTCAAATGATGGATCTTCAATTTCTTGAGGATCCGCTTATCCTTGATATTGTTCCTTTACATGTGATACTAATATTTCTACTAGTTTCACTTATATATTATCATGTTGAATTTCCAATCATGGTTCTCTTATTTGTTCACTTAGAGATATATCTGTCCCCTCTTGAACAATCAAGGGAACAGTGGATGAAGCTTCTACAGATTTTGAAAATTCTTGATCTGAGATAAATCTCATCAAGAATAACCTAACCTAAGAGCTTATAATTTCTTATCTAGTCCTCCTTTAAGAAAATCATGTGAGTGCTCACTTAGATTATCTTGTCCTTAAGACTAAATAAGAAATCATCCCTAGTTCTCTTAGGGTAGCCAAAAGATATGCACACTTCCATACAAGATTCCATCTCATTTGACTGCTGTTGTAGGACGTGTGCCGTAGCACCCTAAATCCGAATATGGTTTGATCTGGGTTTGCACCCTTTCCATAATTCTTTAGGTGTCTTTACAACAAACTTTGACGGAACCAAGTTAAGAAGATAGATTTCCTTCTCTTAGGCATCTCCCTTGAACAACATTGGCAAAGATGAATAACTGAACATGATCTTCACCAAGTCTAGAAATGTTTGATTTTTGCATACTGCAACTTCATTCAACTAATGCATTCTTAGAGTTGACAGTTACGAAAACTATCCCCTCTTAAATCATGTAAGACCTGAAATTACCAGATAGGTAGCCAACACTTTAGTCAGACCAAAGTGTTTTTGATTTCAACACCTACATGCTTTTCTGCCTCAGACTAAACCTCTTGGAAATTTCCAAAAGCTTTAGACTTATGGCACATTTGGTTCATCTGTCCAAATCCAGAGTAAACATTCATATAATGAAGTACTCATCACCTCTTCTGGTCTGAACGCTAAGTGGTCCACATACTTTAGTATGTACCAGTTCCAGTTGAATAGTTGCGCAAACCTTCTTGGCCCTTGTAGGATTGCTTGGCCACTTTA